AACCCATGCTGCCAGACTTTAGCTTTTGTTTTTGTCATGGGTGAAATGCCAGAGTGGCCTATTTTGGATGAATTCTGTCAGATTTAAGGCTGTAAGCCACAAAAAAATAGGTTGCCCACTAAAGTTGGGCCAACGCAACTGCAGCATTGACCATCCCTGAATGAGTGAGGGTCTGTGGAATCCTGCAGTCTTAGTTAAAGAAGGGAAGGGGGTTGGATCTGTAAAGTCTTGCTTCCATCAAACTCGTTTTGTTCTATCTCCAGAAGATTTTAAATCTGAATCATGCAGTTGGTAAGGCATACATCAGGAAAAATCCACCAACATTTTAATATTTCTGGTAATGATATCAAGGATTTTTCCAACGTGCCCTATAAACACTGTAGCTCACAAGCCTGAAGAAACCTGTAGAGAGGAGACAATGAGAAGCAGTTACAGTTTTAGAGGTGGGAGGAAAACCCCAGAGGAATATTCTGGGTAAAACCCACGGAATCAGGTAGGGACTGAAAACCCGCGGATTGTAAATTTGGGGATCCTGTTCTTGCAGAAGAGACAGCATTTTAACTTTTGAATTCACCTTGATACTGTAGATGACCGTGACATCATGCTCAATAACTGTAGGGTTGATGTTGTCAAAAAAAGGCAGGGTTTTGAGTTTTGAGGGAAATTATGAGGGAAAATGTGAGTGTTTTAACACATGACACATGGATACAATCTTGCATGGCTAGTTTATCAGTAAGAAAGTCACATTTTCTCACAATTTACAATTTGAAATTTCCAAAAAATAGGGTCAGCGCAATAAAGAGAGTGTTGCCTTTGTTCTTTGGGGGGACTTACCCGTTTTGCAAGATTAAAATGACAAAAAAACTGGGATCCCAAAGTATACAATCCCCGAAAACCCAATCCACGTGTGCACCAGGCCGAGATTGGAACCAGGACTGCAGAGGTGGAAGGCGTGGAAACAACTACTACGCTAACCTGACTCCCTGCTTGCTACAGCCTAATGGAATGATGTTTTCTCAATAAGCCTTGTCGCAAATACTGCATGGGTGATTTTACACAACAGTAGAAAGGCATTGTGGGAAGGCAAAAGGAGCAAACTTTGTCCCTTTTTCCTTCCCACAATGCCTATCTACCATTGTGCAAAAGGTTTCGAGCCAACTCGGACCCAAACCAACTCGGACCCATGCCAACTCGGACCCATGNGACCCGTGCTGCCAGACTCTAGCCTTTGTTTGTGTCATGGGTGAAATGCCAGAGTGGCATATTTTGGATGAATTCTGTCAGATATAAGGCTGCAAGCCACAAAAAATAAGAGAAGGTTGCCAAAAATCCCACTTAAGTTGGGCCAGCCCAACTGCAGCATTGACCATCCCTGAGTGAGTGAGGGTCTGTGGAATCCTGCAGTCTTAGTTCAAGAAGGGAAGGGGGGTTGGATCTGTAAAGTCTTGCTTCCATCAAACTCGTTCTGTTCTATCTCGACATGATTTTAAATCTGAATCTGAATCATGCAGTTGGTAAGGCATCCATCAGGAAAAATCCACCAACATTTTAATATTTCTGGTAATGATATCAAGGATTTTTCCAAGGCGCCCTATAGGCACTGTAGCTCGCAAGCCTGAAGAAACCTGTAGAGAGGAGACAATGAGAAGCAGTTACAGTTTTAGAGGTGGGAGGAAAACCCCAGAGGAATATTCTGGGTAAAACCCACGGAATCAGGTAGGGATTGAAAACCAGGGGACTGTAAATTTGGGGATCTTGTTCCTACAGAAGAGAGAGCATTTTAACTTTTGAAATCACCTTGGTACTGTAGATGACCGTGACATCATGCTCAATAACTGTAGGGTGGATGTTGTCAAAAAAAGGCAGGGTTTTGAGGGACATTATGAGGGAAAATGTGCGTGTTTTAACACATGACCCATGGATACAAACTTGCATGGCTAGTTTATCAGTAAGAAAGTGACATTTTCTCACAATTTACAATTTGAAATTTCCAAAAAATAGGGTCAGCGCAATAAAGAGAGTGTTGCCTTTGTTCTTTGGGGGGACTTACCTGTTTTGCAAGATTAAAATGACAAAAAACTGGGATCCCAAAGTATACAATGCCCGAAAACCCAATCCATGTGGGCACTAGGCCGGGATTGGAACCAGGACTGCAGAGGTGGAAGGCGCGGAAACAACTACTACGCTAACCTGACTCCCTGCTTGCGTGCAGCCTAATGGAATGATGTTTTCCCTATAAGCCTTATCGCAAATACTGCATGGGTGATTTTACACAACAGTAGAAAGGCATTGTGGGAAGGCAAAAGGAGCAAACTTTGCCCCTTTTTCCTTCCCAAAATGCCTTTCTACCATTGTGCAAAATCACCCATGCAGTATTTGCGATAAGGCTTATCAGCACGACCGGGGCGGCGGATATACATGTATAGATATATATGCATTCATTGTTGTGAGATACCAAAACAAAGAAGTACCTTGCCAGCTGAGCTCAACTTCTGAAACGTAGTCTCTTTGCTCCAAATTTTCGACGACAAGCCATAAGCAACGGGCATTAAAGCCACAGCAACAATGAGGAAAGTTGTGAGGAAATTCATTTTCAAAAGAAGATATGCTTTTCAGCTCCCAGCAACTCACGCGGCAGGCCGAGTAAGAACTCCAGAAACTAAGTGGGGTTACTTCGAAATTAACTGCTTGTGCGCACTGTATGGGTACGGTGTTTACTTCCTCGTGGTTCCCACCCACTGACACCGTGGCTAATCTACCTACATGTAATATACGATAAAGCACTGGACATTGGTAACCATGCTGAAGTACAAGTGCTCACACGTGATACAGTTATACAAGCCTGCGTGTTGACCAATGGCGTGTTAGTGCAAGGCCTGCCAAAACATGTGATGTGACACACGTGATGATAAGGGGAGGGGTGGATGAACGGTTGTGGATCATCGGAGAAGACAAAACTGCCCTACAGGGTACAGAGGAATACTTGCTCATTTTTAAATAACTGTTTTCACACTCATTTTAGAAAAAATCCACTCATAAAAACACAACAGGGGTGGATCCAGGATTTTTGGGGGGAGGGGCGGTCCCCTTAAATTTTTTGGTATCCGATATTTGCGGACAGGTGGACGCATAAGTAGGGCATTGCAATGATACTGATGTACATGTACAAATAATAACCTTACAGCATGTGGTCCTTTTTATTCTATCCACAGTTTTGTATTTCATTTTATTTATTCGTTATCGGTGTCATAGCAGGGGGAATTGATTCCCATGATCCCCCCGTCGGTATCCGCGCCAGATGGAAAGTACTTTTTGAAACGAATACCGAATGCATACAGCCTAAACTGAATCGCTTTCCAATTCCTCGATGCCCCCTTATAAGACCTTTGACGAATATGAAGGAATATGTGTATTTTTTTCTGTATTGCTGACAGAAGTCACGAGACGCCCTTCTGGAAAACGCGACACTGATTTAGACTCCCTCTTTCCGGTCCATTATTGGTTGCTCACTGTCAAAAGGAAATCTGCAAGATCTTAATTATTGGAGGGAACGGGAAGAAGATGGCAGGTGTGAGGAGAATTAAGGCAGAGATAGGAATAAACAAGGGTGAAAAATAGTGAGGGACAGAGGAATAACTTGAAAGGGGGTGATCCCCCTCCCAAAATGGAGCTGAGCAGGAGGAAGGACGGTGGGGACCGGCATGAAAGACATTCGGACGGTTAGAAATACCCTGAATAGTGTATATCGGTAAGTTTTATGGTCTTACCAGCAACAGTAGGCCTACAGCAAAGTACCTGATAAAACAGTTGTACAAACAAGCAAGCACCGTACAAAGGACAGACGATAAGGATCTGTCTTGGATTTTATTTTATTTTAGTCAAATACACGTATTTGAAATGGACTATTAGTTAAACAGTATTGATTATGGAGCTGTACTAGGGACATAGCGAAAAAGAAAATTATCTCCCCCTCTAGCTAATTCGTACGTACGACTTCTATCTCATACGTACGACTTCTACCTTGTACGTACGACTTCCATCTCGTACATACGACTTCTAAATTATAACTCGTACGTGCGACTTATATCTCCTACGTACGAGTTACATGTTGTACGTACGAGTTATGATTCATAAGTCGTACGAACGACATACAAGTCGTATAGGAGTTAGCTCAAGGTGGAGAGATTTTTTTTTGCCATGTCCCTAATACAGATTCGTAGTTGCTTTTAGTTTTGCCAGCAGCAGTGCTTCCTCGTATTTTTGATCTCAATTCTTTGACAGTGACACCGATGATTTTTTCCAGCAGATTTAGTGACTCTTAATTTTTATTGTTTTGTTAGGGCCCACCATCGCAATAGAACATAACAACCCGGTTGACACTATGGTCAGTGAAACGGAACATAGCTTAGAGAATGCTGACATTTTCAAGTAATTCCCAGAATGCTGTTGGATACTTGTGATAGGTGACAATATGTGGACAGACACATACCACCTCATTCTTCCAAACGAAGCACGTTTTCCTCATAGTCTATGTAAATTTAAAATCACAAAGTTTAACTTGCACCCTTCACAAACTCGCCAATTTCATTTCCATATCCGGCGTTGCCGTCATGACTAATAAATCTTGTTAATAAAGTAACGTTAGCATTTTTAAAATTATGGATCAAAGCAATGCCACACTTCCAGATCATTTGTATATAGTGTAAAAAGAACTAAGAATAAAACACACCGCTATATTGACTCGGACTCTGGCTATTGATGAGAACGATATCAGACACAAACTGTGGTACATGTAATCCTATATTAAACTCTCTCATTTGACAAGATTTCATTAATCCACAGAATTACATTTAGCTTACATACTCCCTCTCAGCTTTTTTTTGCTAAACCGAACTCCAATAATGAAATCTCAAAGAATATTATCAATCGAGTTTTCAAAATCCTTTCAAAAGACTTCGCGACAATGGCAATAAAAGCAAAGGTCACGGTATAATTAAACTCAGTGAGTTTGGATATTTTTGCAACAGTAGTGGAAACTGCAGTTTTCAAGAACTGAGGAATTTTACACTTAAATGTGGTCCTTGAGGACTGAGAAAGTTTTCTGAAACAGAATTTCTAAGCCTTGCCTTGCAGACTTTTGAGTCTTTAACTCTGTCGGCAATTTTTTTAACAGCAGCAGCTCTCATCAGTAATAAAGTGAGGTTCCCAATAAAAGCTTGTAATTCAGACCAGTAAAGACATTGGTGTCAAGTATGGCATAAAAGTTTAATATGAATTGTCAGTGTCACTAGGAGGGAACCAGATGTGGCAGCAAGTCATTTTTGCAAGTCCAAGTCAAGTCACAAGTCAGAAAAACTAGCGACTCGAGTCCGACTCGAGTCCAAACCACATGACTCAAGTCAGCAACTCTAGAGGGAACCACTGTGTTACTCCAGTGATTATTTTCAATCCGTGACATGTACTTTTAGGACCACCCTAGCTGAAATTTGCCTTCTTCCTTTTCGTTGTTCCTGTCCACTGTGTTGGATGTCCTTTTTGTGTGTATGAAGATTCATTGACAAGTCGAGAATGTTCCTTATGGATGTTCCTTTTCTCTAGTCTTGAAATCTGACCTTTTAAGTTCCTGTTCAGGAGTTCGTGGAAACAGTTATTTAACCAATGGTTTAAAGTAGGATTTGAATTATCTTGCGAGTATGAAATGCGGTGTCCGCATCACGGAGCTTCATCTTGTCGGTGACAAAAAATGGTGCTTTCCAAATATGTTTGCAGAGTTTCTGCACGATCATATGACCACTCTCTAATCTGCTTAACATCAACAATGCCATAGTTGGATAAACCAAGACCACCTTTGAATGAACCCTTTGAGCAGTATAAATATTTCCCCCAGCATTTATCCACTTTTCGATTTCTCTTGTCCGAGTGTAACGTTTCAGTTTTGGTTCCATTACTTTGTTCTTCATGCCAGCTTGCCACAAACTTGATCTATTAACCTTTACTTTTTAATTCTGTTGGGTTTAAAATGAACAGTATTTGTTTGCACCATTTTTAAGACACAGTGTAGGTGAGAGAAAGATGCAGCATCAGATAAGCCATGTCATGCACATTTGAATTGAACTGATGAAGTTGGAAGTAAATTGACTGAGTTTGACTATAAACGGAAATGAACACGCCACGCAGATTAAAAATCCTTAATGCCTCGATGAATCTTAATGTCCTAAATATACAGAGAAAATTGACAATAGTATGTGCTGTCCCCAAACAGCAACTTCTGTGATGTTTAACAGACACCTTTTAATGTGTGTGCTACGTAAAATTCATTAAAACTTTAGCTCGAAAAAAAAACCCGAAACGGCCAATACCTTTTTACAAATGAACACTTGCATACAGTCTTGAAAAAGCTTGTTAGATTTTTGTTTTAAATTTGTGTTGAATAGTTCATTTGGTTTGACAGTATGCTGCACGCCTATAACAATTAGTTTGAAGAATCCCGCAACTAATTTTCATTTAGAAGTCTTTCACGTTTTACACGTTCACCGTGCGTGTTCACCGACATGTATATTTTATGGAATTATTAGTTTCTAAGTGTACTTCTTGAAAGTTTGTCTGGGGGGTTTGAACGCAGTGGAGCGTTGTCATAAATATTGCTTCAGTGAAAAGTTTGATAGTCGGAAAGATGCTTATAATTATTTTGCTCAATCTGAGAAGTACAATGCAGACGGGGGGGGGTCGACGCCTGTTCTAAGACAAAAATACCCCCCTGCACCGATGTATGGAAACAATGCATGTATATGTCATGTAATGTTTCATCATCGTTTCCGCTTATCTGTAAAATGAGACATTAAAAAATCTCCGGCCTGACCCCCCCCCGGAAAAAAATTTCTGGATCTGCCCTGCATTAAAGGGTCATTAGAAATGGCCCTTTGCATTGCATCCAAGCCCCATATACATGTATTACGGCAATGGGAGTAACGTCTATCATTTCACATATTCCCACAACTGTGGTTTTCGAATTTTACGATTGCGTTACGACTTTGAATAAACAGAAATGCTTTTGTTTGCATATTCATGAAAGTACATTTCCGTGCTGAGCTCGACGTGGTAGTTAGACGCATAACGAATATTAGAGAATATAATATATAATCAGTGCTCTGAAATATGTAATTGCCGAGCTTTCGGTAACTGAGTAGGCTACCTTCTTCAGGGCAAGCAGATTCAGTTCTGAACTGTGAACTGACCCCTTCCACGGGAAAAAATTCTGGATCCGCCCTGCAATCGTTCTCAGTTGTGAACTGAATCTGCTTGCCCTGAGGAAGGTACTCAGTTACCGAAAGCTTGGCAAATACATAGTTCACAGCACTGATTATGTACTATATATTCTTGTCAATATTCTGATCACGGTGCTACGCAGCCCTTCCATATTTTGTTTTTATGAATATTCAAGTTACATGGCCACCCGTTTGTAGAATACACGCACATCAGACTGCGTTGTCGTTTATTATTGATAAAGTACCAGAGGCCTTCATCGAACTTCAAACTATAAAATTAATGACCAGTTCTCAAATTAGCCGGGAATATCTATAGATAAAGTAATGGCAAGAGAGGGCGGGCGAGGTCGCCGGGAGCGCAAATATCTTCCTCGTACGAGACCTGTAATCATCCAACCCTTCCTGAAAATTGAGGATAAATTCATGTAAATACAAGAAATAATTATCAGCATTTTCTTTATTTGTATTGCCTGTCATTTACTTTTCGTTATGGAAATCATAAAAGTACCTACTCAAATCAAACAACCCTAAGAGGATTGGTTAAAGGTTTTCTGCCATTTGCTTTAATCTATGCATGTTGAGATCGTCATATAGTAATGACGGGCTTTCAGTTCACAAAATTCAATTTTGGGGTTGCGCTACACCAAATACGCGCCCATAGAAAACAGTGCAAAATCGGACCGAAATAGCGCCGCCTGTTGACTCTCGTGAAGAGGTTGGCCTACTTTTTTCAATGGAAATTCAAAATTATGGCCAGAAGATCACTTTTCGTTTCAATATCATTGGGGTTAGCCACGAATTTTGTTTATTCGCCTTTGAACGAAGATACCCCCAAAATAGTAATAAAACTAAGCGCTCATTTCTGAATGTAGCCGGGCCCGCCTCTATCCAAAATGCATGCATATAGGTCTGCAATTTCGGGATTTTTGTGAAAGAAATACCCTGAACTGGAGACTATCAGTCCTAAATTCGTGATTTATCGAAATATTTCTATGATGCCTCCTGATTATCGCCTGTCTTATCGTAAAAACCCCGTGGGATCACAAATTTTTTTATGAGCTCGCGCGCAGAAATACAACCATTTGGTGGAATGCACCCTGGGTCACTTCAGAAGTTTCGCTGTGAGAAGAATCGCAACAGCGACCTCTCTAATAAAAATCATTTTCAAGTGGTGACGTCCAGGCGCCCGACTGTAAGTTTTACCATAGACCTTTTTTCTCCTGTTACTTTCGAATATCACACTTTTCACTTTGTACCTGAGTAAAGTACATGCACTTTTCACAATTTCAATACAGGTTGAAACAGTACTATAGTGTTAATGCGTAAAGCTGAAACTTTCTTTATTGTAAAAAAAGGAAAAATCCTCTGTTTCACGAATAACGCGTTTGTTGTTTGTTAATGTCGTTTTGTAGGTCCTTCACATCTCGGGGAGATAGCCGCAGTCCGAATTATTTGGCTATTGTTGGAAAAGACACGTCCATGTATGAAAGCCGCTGGCTTGCGGCTGCAGGCAAGCCCCAAAGACGTGCGTGTTACTCCTAGCCGCATCTGAATGGGGTACCAGCCTAATGGCATCATTAAGAGCTGAAGCAATTACGCGATGTACACTGTATGGGGAGCAGGCCGGTAAAAAAGCCAGCTAGCTACCTCCATGGTAAAAGCATAAGTGAGTGCTCCTGCTAAACAGCGAAGGTGATCTTGGGAATTCTGGAATTAGGATGATTTTTTTTTCAAGAGACCGATTATTCCAAACCAAGTCTCCTTAATATAGTCGTTTAAATTCCGATGGCTTCCCAAGTATCGTAGATCTGACAGTCCGAACATGTCATTTTGTTTATGACTCATCGCGACCGGGCGACGACTGTGACGATTTTGGGCGGTGAGCCGGACCCATGGCCCAGTGGAGAGACGACGCGGTGGACCCCCAGTTCAACGGTGGTTCGCCCGATGAGTCACCCCAGTATCAGCAGGGTGGTGTCGGAAAAGTCAACGGAGACCACATGTCACAAAGTAATGAACCACTTTACATGAACGCTCAACATTTAATGAATGGCAGTGCTTCAGAAAGCGATCTTCAGCGCATCAGTGACACCATAAACAACCTCAGTTTAAGCCCGCGACCCGTTGTAACTGCCCAGTCGAACACCGACTGTACTATCGTTTCCTGCTCCAGCAGTCTGCCCACCGTGGCCCCGAAACCGTCCAAAACTAAAACCCAACACCTGAACCACCGGAGCAAGTCCACCAGCCAGATGGGTTTTCAGTTTCATGTCAGTGAACAAATTACCAAGTCGGGGAATCGGAATGGTGCTGCCGGTGACGGCAGGGAGACTGAATTGGAGAACAGAACTTTACGATTTGTTGGGAGGAGAGGCCTCTCTGCGGGTGGAGATGATATCACAAGTGCAAAGGGAACAGTGAGGGGTGTAACAAACAGGGTCAAAGCAGGTATTATGAACTTTACATACAAGCCACTGAATCACAAAAAGGTGAGTATTGAGAATAATAACATTTTCATAAAATAATCATAGGATGTGTGTGGTTGTATGTGATTTGTCCATAGATGATGCTGTCAGGGGGTCTGTACAACTTGACCGTTTATAGACACCTCTACCATTGAGACAACTTGACCATCCGTGCGTAAAAAGGAGAGACAAGTCATAACCGTTGAGACAAGTTGTTGATCGAAACAAGTCATCTATTGAGACAATTCCGCTCAGCCAAGTCGTCCACTGGATGACCGTGTGAAATATTACATGAATGCCTTAATAATGGGAGGGAATTTCAGGTAGCAGGTAGACAAGCTAATTTCTGAGGTACATGTAGACCCTATTATAAAAATGATGGTCGCAGTAAGTCAATCTTTGCGTGATCTGTTGACCTAGCTGTGTAGTTCTGGATTTTTCTGAGTGCCAGGTTGCTTGAAATAATAACCTACCTCCTCCTACATTCTCATATACGTTCTGTTTAAAAGGTGAAATACAAACTTCTTGTACAAAACTTGTTTTCGGAAAATTTCTAGGAAAGAAATTTAGCCAGATTTCCGATTCGCACTTTGACTTTTTGAACAGTTTGTCAAAACTCATGGAAGCAAAAACAAAAATTGACAAATGACAAATATTTACAGGGCAAAACATGTATGTCACTCACTACGTGTGATCCCAAATACTTTTTCATACTCAACATTTCTATAAACTTTTGCATCTAATGTCTGTTTAATAAAAATGACTTTTGAAGTTTCCCTGAACTTTATTAATATTGGCCGAAAACTGAACACATTGTTTTCCTAGTTTTGGATCGCGCAATATACGTTGCGAAGTTGAATTTACTATAGCTCAGTACGGCCATTCGGGAGTTGTGCAAAATGGCAGGTACTACACCGATAAAACCAGCGACCATTGTGACGTATGCGCGCACCAGCAAGTTAGAGGATTGGATTACACAATCTTTTCTTTGATCAGTGTGTGCGCGCTTGTTGTAGTTGTTTTCACTGGTGCAATGTGGTTGCTACATGTACCTTCCATTCTGTGAAACTCGCGGATGTCTGTGCTGCCCCATACGGATACATGTAGCAGAAATGTACATGATGTACATGTAATGGGTTTGTTGACTGTGTGGTGCGGGGGAACGTATTGTCAATTGCTTGCCGTATAGCTGAAAAAGTTGAGTCTTTACACAAGATCTACTTTTTAATTCATTGGAATTCTTATTTGTGAACTAATTTTTTCTAAATTAAGAAATGCTTCGGTCCAGTTTTCTGAATGGTCGAGTTGTCTCAACGGTCGAGTTGTTCGAAGTCAAGTTGGCAAACGTTGAGTTGTCCGACATCTGCTGTCAGCATCATATCAGCCGATCCCGTATGAAACTGCCACCTTTACTCCCTTTTTCTTAAACAAATCTTCCACAGCTGCAAGTTAGAAGAAAAGACCATTGGCTGAGCGTGGAATTATTGGCAAATTGTTTATTAAGATTTATATAGCTTTGTGTAACACCGTTTGGAAATTAGTTTGAGAACTTGTACAGGATTGACTCATAACACAGCATGATACACCAGTGGAGAGCAACATACATTGTAAGCTTTTTCATTTAATTAGAAAGATAAATTTCACTGTTGTCGATTTCAAAGGAGATATTCAGGGTCTGGGCAAATTTGACTTCAGGAATGAGAACTCACAAAGCAGAGCCTGCTGACAGCTTTTTGATTTTGAGACAAATTTACAAACATGAAATGTAAAAAGTGACTGGGCATTACATGTACATGACCTTACCCGAACTTTCCCGAAAGGTAACACTCTGATTAAGTACATGTATGTAAGATGGAAAGCTTGCGGTAAGCACCATGCAATATCTCTTTTTGAGTCTGTGTGGTTCTGATAAGAACCGGAGAGGCTCCTACCTACATGTATGTAGGTATGTACAAATTATGCTTGGATCAAAATTTCAGGCCCATGTAGGGGCATTTCTAGTATTTTTTGTGGGGGGGGGAAGGAAGGCAAAAGGGAACTCCGCAGCAAACGGTTCAACTATTAACAGCAGCATGTGTTGGTTCCGAAGTACTAGTATCTTCAAGCGAATCGGTAATTTCATTGCCTTTCTTCCATTCTTTGTTCCTTTTTCCTTTTTTTTCCCTCCTTTTTTACTTCATTTTTCCAGAGAGGGGGCAGGTGTCTCCCTTCCCCCCTCTCACGATGGCTGTGATCAGGCATTCTGAAGTTGACTTGGGTAACTGGGACTGTCATCCTTTTGTTGTGGTTTTTACAATAAAGGACCGCACTCTCTGTGTCTGCCTATAGTCCCTGTATATCACCCCAAAGACTTCCTGGAAATATCCCAATGAAAAGCAGGAAAATTGATATTCTCACATGTTGGATATACATTTAGGTTAGGTCAGTTTCAAAGTGGATGTATGGGAACCCAGCAACGAATATCCAAGGGCAGGTTAGTGTTAGAAATAAGTGTTAAAGAAATAAACGGTAGGTAATGACAGACATGGTGAAGAAAAGTTTACAAATTTTGGAAAAATTACCCAGTACATCTTTTATTAAATATCAAAATTTGCAGAATTTATCAGTCTGTTTTAACAAAACTAATCTTGAGGCCATAATTTATTGATTAACTGGGAGAATATTGCTGATTTGGGAACTCACTGGCTACTCAAAATTCAAAATTTCTGATATCACGATAATAGAGTTACCGTGGTAATATGGGAACCGAGTATACTTGTATACTTGTATATATGTACTTGTATTCTTAGCACTGTGTCATTTTATTATCTTTAGAATTTCTGTTACATAGATTATAGCTACCTGTCTGTCACTAATCTCTAAGCAACAGTTTTTTGGCCATAGACTTCCCTGAGCAAGCTGTAAAGGTTTAGTACACTGTGTTTTTGAGGACTTGAATGCAACTAACAGGCAAGACAGAATGACTGTAGGATTGTAGGTGTACGTGTACATGTAGATTTGAGTTCATTTAGTAATGATTAGCATACATTGTACATGTCCAGCCACACCTACCGATATCATTTTATTACTAAAAGGATACATTTTGATACAAACAATAGATTCTAACTTTTTTTGTCTCTTTATGGTGTGACCAACCCTTGTTTCGGAATGCCTTGTGTGACCGCTTCCCTATCGAAATAAAGGGTGTGGCTAGTCCTAATATTGGGAATAATGGACCATAAAGCGAAGAGTCAGTGATTACTATCTTGCTATGAACACAGCGAGTCAGATAAGTGGTTATAAATCTTGTTGATTTTGTCACAGTTGGATTTCCCCAGAAAGAAACCCAACTAGTTAAACTGGCAAGTTGTTTATCTTTATGATGTTGATGGTTGATAATTGGTTGGAGGAGGGAGGTGCTGGAAATTGGAATCCAGACAAACATAGGAAGATTTATTTTTTAATTTGGTCAGTTGGTGGGCCCTTTCATTTGGCCAGGAGTGGCAAGCTTGTACATGTACTATATGTGAAGCAAACATACTCTCACGTTTTTGAATGTGCACTGCAGAATGTAAATGCTAGCAACCACAAAGTTGGTTTGTTTAAAAACTATCGGGGAATCATGCTTCACAAATTGTTCAAAAGTACCAGTATGAAGGTAGTTGGTCTTGCCATGCAACCGAATTGAAGATAAAGGTTTCATTGTTCAATTATAAAAGCCAACCACATAGTGGGTGGAGTTTCTTTACTTTTTTGGTATCAAGTGTGAAGTATGAATTGACACTGAATTCTTTACTTTGCACATGGGTGCCCCATGTGGGCCCTACTCACAACATTTCTGTTACGTGTTGTGACGTCTTGACGCAGTAGTAGTAAGAGATGATTTACACATGGAGGGATCACTTGGCATAGAATTCCTGATTGGCAGTTGTACATATTCATGTTCTTATCCCCCCAAATCAAAGAAATGCCAAAGTTCAAAAGTGTAACATTAAGGTCCATTAAGGTTTCTTATATGTAAATCAGTATTAAGACTTGACTGTTAAGTTTCCAAATCAGTTATACATTCATATCATGTATATTCTCAGCTTTATTCCAAAGACACCTGCCAACACTGATATTGTAAAATTCTCCCTTGTGTGCCACTGAACCCAATGTTCCATTGTACTGTCATTTTAAGAGCATGTTGGTACCCTTTTTTATTTTATGCCGACACAAATTTTAGTATGAGCGAAAGTGTGATGTCATCCAAGACAAAAACCTTAGTGTCACAATTGAATTCTGCATTAAAATATCCAGATTTTGAATATTTTGGTAGAGTAAAGTTTATTCTCTTTGGTGATGCACTGTTCTTTTAGTTCATGACAGTAGGCCAGTGAGCAAAGTTTTTTAATTGGCCTCTTTTTCACTGAGCAAAGTTTGGGTTCACAATGGAACCCCTCTCCTTCAAACAAAAAAATCACATGTTCCCAAGTGAAATGCACATCATGGACTCTTGAACATGCAAGTTTCCTTGAGTACTCATTAATTAAATTTGATATTCAGGAACAGTCTTAATAACTGTCATTGACACATTCTTGATTTGGGAGGAAAAATCATCTTTTGTTAAGTTATATTTATACATGTACCGGTACTTATTGTATGGGCTGATCCTCTTGTTGTTATTCATATTCATTTATTCATTTTTATTCCAGTAAATGCTGGAAACATGCGTACATGTACATGTTAATATGTACATGTACAGTACATGTACATGTGTCCTTCGGCGCGGCCAGCAGATGTACATGTACAGTGTACTAACAAAGCATTACATCATATTGTACCGGTATATATACATATGTAACTGTACATGTACATGTACATGTATGTAAGTGAACTATCAATGATAAAGACATGTATTGTACTACTTAATGCACTCCAGAATATGTGTACATACATGTGCAAGAAGGGTTGGAATTTTAAAGGTGACAGCTACATGTACTTTACACATTGCACGTGATACATATACCTGCATAGACCGATTGCACCTGCCAATTCACATGACCGGCCGTAGAGTGGGTATAAAACTCAATGTCCACCAAACAGCAAAGTGTTTCAAAAGTATCATTTATCCAAAAATAAAGCCAACGGTAGGTACTGTACTGTGACCACTGATGGGCTGGGTATTCCATGTACATACCATAAATTGGCTTATTGTTTGTAAACAACACTCAAAACACACTTTACTATGGGAGTGGTACCCACTATAGGTCACATGATTAGGCAGGCGCAATCGGTCTATTACCGGTACATATCCCATTTCTGTGGCCACCAAATCAGAATGTACATGCATGTACATGTATGTACTTCCAAAAGATATACCGTACCGGGTTGCTTTATTTTAAGACTGGCTACAGCCTTCTAAAAAGTGTTCAATTTTGTCTTAAGCAGTTAAGGTGCATTTTACTGGTATATGTGCACGTAGATCTTACATAACGTGCTGTACAGCATTTTTACAGACTAAAAACAGACTTTGTGTTAAACCCTCACAGCTTATCTAAATTTGGCGTCACATTTAACTTTAAATATTGCTGGTGGCTTGTACCTGTAGTAAAGTTGACTAGAAATGTTTCACAAGCAATTTGCATTTGAAATTTGCAAGGTGAGAGTACATGTACATGTATGCGGGTACTGTAGCATCTGGCTAGAGCAGCTCTACAAAATTGCCTTTTTTTTGGGCACATGTGAATATACGGTAATAGGCAGCTATAGGTTCTCGGAAGTGCGTCCCCACGAATTGTGAACAGTCTGCAACAGTAGTAAACCTGACCTTCATACACGTACATGTAGCTCCTTCCAAGTGCATCCTGGAGGTTTTCTAGCATTGTGGAAAATCAAGCCCAGTGCCCATTACTTTCAATTGTGTGATTTTTCAGGATTTCTTTTCCTGAATATCAGAATTTTGTACCCCCTAATTTGGGAGTTAAGAGCTTTAATCATTCAGGGTTTGTCACTTTTTGCACACTGGTTAAAAGAGCAACAGTTAATTTGGATAAACATGATGTCTCTTTGGCTTTTTCAAGCCCTGAACAACCACATCAATTTATTACCATTTGTGTAACACATCCACCAGATGTTTTGTGGATTTCTTCATCAATGGGCTAACTCCCCCTTGTGCTTTACATGTACATGGGACATGATAGTCCTTAAAAGTTTAAGTACAAAGAATTTGCCATTATTTTCCTGCACAGTGGAGGATTCTGGATGATCCGGAAAGATTCTGAGCAAAAAATGCGTAGGAATCGCAGTTGATTGGGCCCTACACAGATTTTTGCCATCCCTGTTCACCACAGGAGTTTCTTGTATGTTCATCACACAGAAGGCAGTCAACAACGATGATGAAAGGGACAAGATCATCATCTATACCACCAGCATGCGCATCGTCCGACAGACCTTTGAAGACTGCCAGTTTGTGCGTAAGCTGTTCCAGAACCACAGGGTCAGGTATGAGGAGCGGGATCTCTTCATGAACTCACAGCACCAGCAGGAACTGAAGGATCGCTTGGAGGGGGAAAGCCAGCAGGCAACGCTGCCCATAGTCTTCATTGATGGGGAACTTGTTGGGGTAAGTTGTTAGGATTGTACTGATTGGTAGCATTGTAGGTTTGTGAGACTTCTCAAGATTTCATTTTAATTAAGAGATGAAATTCTAAGTGGTTTGGCTATAGAGTGTCATTCAGTGATAAGTGAATAGTAATGTATAAATTTTTGATACATGTAGCATTAAAATTTTTTGAGACATGTTCCTTTTGTGGTTAAATTCCCACCAAGAGCTTTTCTTGACCTATTCAAGGTTACTCTTCCCTTTTGCCAAATCCTAATTTAACATTAAATTGTTGTTCAAAATGAGCACTGAGTGCATTTTCCCATCCATGTACATGTACTGTATGTACTGTATGCACACTTGTCGCTATGTACATGTATGTATATGTGTTAATGTACTCAGACAACCAGTATCAAAGTGGAATTGATAGGCACTCAGCACCTTTGGTGAGGGGTTTATCACCGAAGCCTTCCTTGTGAATGCCATGAATTCCCTTGCTGAAAACAAGTTGAAGTTGATCAAAAAGTTGAGTTGCACTGGTAACTTGGGTTCGGGGGTTCGAATCCAGCAGCCTGATACTCGGCAAGCCACTTCACACCTGGGCCCAATTTCATGTCACTGCTTAGCAAACGATTTCACACTTACAGAGGCTGCACGTATTACTCCTTCTAGAGGTCAGGCATTACCACACAATAGATTAAAAGGTATTTAAATCAGCCCTCAGTTCATTTAAATTTTTATCTTTTGTGTGGTAATGCCTTACCTCAGCAAGGAGTCCGGCATGTTGGCAGGTCTGCGTAAGCAGTAAGCACAGCCAAAGGCATGCTAACCGTGGAGGAAAGATTTGCTTTCCCATGACAATAGAAATCTCTATGCGCATGCAACCGTTAGCACAACCATGCCAAGTATTGCTATGAAACAGTGCTTAAGTCTAGCAAATATTTCTGCTAAAGCTATCACGACTTTTCTTCTAACTGTTAAGCAGCGCTGTGAAATTTGGCCCTGCTCACTTCTCTCTCTGAGAGATGGTTGGTTGTATTTGATAAGCTATTTGTGCTTGAAATGGTAGCATCCACCTGTGCACTCCCCAGGGAGCTGAGATAGTTTTGGAATATTTTAGGAATGAAGGACATGGAATATTTTAGGAATGAAGGACTTGGTGAGCATACATACATGTAGATGATAATGATGTAACTCCTGATCATCTGTATACTGGTGGAGTGTAACTCATGCATGTATCCATCAAAATTTTTTATTGTAAAATAATTCCTGAATTTATTTCATTTCAAGCTTGTTGAAGGAAAATGGTGTAGTGGCAAAATATTGTACCTGTAAGTCTAACTTACGGGGAGGGGTACCCAACTGTTTGGGAAATGGCTATGCGGTCCCCCCCCCCAAAAAAAAGGTTTGACGCTTTTGGAATCATGGATGTTTAAATCTCCCGTGGTTCTAAAGAGAACAACTTTTGTCTTTTTTTAAGAGTTTGTTTCACTGTGAATCTATTTTTTCTCCTTTGTCTAAAGCCTGAAAGCATTTACAGATTCCGGTACCAAGGGTCTTACAAGAGATTACCTGGATATTAATAGTCAAAGCTTGATTTTATTTTTATTGAGTCATCTGCACTTCCACCTGGGAAAGCTTTGAGACATGCATGGTGTGGTACTTAGCGTACATATGCACATGTCCTATACACTACGTACAGGTAAAATCTTCACTTGCCTCGAAATTCTTCTCCTCCGGCAGTCACCCAAATCAAAGTACTGTACATGTAGACATCATAGCACATGTACATCAGTAACTATGCACCTGTACAGTATGTGTCATGATTGGAGGAAGTACCTTTTTTGGTGACCTTTTGTGTGGTGTTCTTGGATCCATGAATGCAGCATAACTATTCTTTGATTTTTTTGTCTGGCACTGAATGATGAGCCTTTCATTTATAAATCAGAAAGCTGTGACTGTGACCGAGTGAGTTTTTGTCCAGATATTCGGGACTCTCCCAAAACACAACTTAATTGTTCACTTTAAGAATAAACAAGGTGCTTCAAAAGCAGGTTATATTGGTGAACCTTTGAAACCAAATCTATGAACAGTACAACAGGAAAGGATGCTATCTGAACTTAGTTTAGTATATTTGGATAAAGGGAGGGGGTACATTATATGTACACTCTACTTTTTCAAGTCATTTAAAGTACAGTCACATGTCGCATAAAGGTTTTTAAAGAAGTACAAGTACACGTTGAAGTCACCTTTTGAAATTTCACCCTCAGGGTGGACAATCCATCTTATCAGTGGTTTGTCACACACGGCTTACACATGTAAATAGTCTTGGGTCTTTTTTCTTTATCAGAGCTGCTTCCTTCAATTTTTATCATAAATTGCCTCATGTTGCATTGTTACATGTACATACATGTATGTACATGTAGATGTACTTGTACATGTATGTACATGCCAGTGGTTTATTGCAGGCTGTTGGCATGGCACAGCCCTACAAATGGGATTCAGTTGTACATGTACATGTATGGTAGATATATTATGAGTTTATTGTAGGGCAAGGCTATCAGTTGGTAGAGACCCATGGACAAGGCTAGCAACAGCATCTTTATTTGACCTAAAATTTGTTTCTCATAAATCTTGCTAATAGAATTCAGTAATATACTGTACAAGTACCAGCAGGATGACTGCATGTCCAAGGTTGTACATGTACTGTAATTGAATTTTGGTTGGCAGAATTGCACGGACAAGGCTAGACATGGATTAATTTCCGTTTTCATGTAGCCTATAATTCATTTGTGGGACTTCTGTTGTGAAACGTGAATAATGGCTGTGCACAGTGATTCATTGTTAAGTGGTTGAAAGACCACCATAGTTCCTATGCAGTACATACATGTACATGTATATACTGTGCATGTATTTATGTGGCATTTATCTTCAGAAATTAAAGATGGCACAAAAGTTGGTAAATTAAATAAATGGTTTTATTGCACATTTTTAGCAGTGCTTTCTGATCTGTGGGTCCGCAGAAGTTTTTTTTTTCACAAATGGAAAGTGGAATTTCATATTTGGTTAATATTCCCCACCTAACTTTGTTGCAGTGGCAGAGTCAGAAAAAAGTAAAATGATGAAATTTGCCTATTCTGACGTAAAGCGAAAAAAGTCCTAGATTCTCTAAAGTTTCTTTTGCTTGCAGTCAGTTTTCTTGTTTACCAACCCATTTGGCAACCATTGCTGACCTACATGATGCAGTGAATTTTACTTTACCTTCATTGTGTCCTCGGATATTCCTTCCTTAAAAGAACCTGTGATCTAAAAAAGGGCAAAAAAAAATTGAAGTGTGGCCTTCGGGATAAAACTGATATGATTTTGTGTGTATACATGTACTCTACCTTTTAGAAACAACCTTTCGTTGAACAGATCACAGTACCGTTACGCTTGTACAGATGGCCATCCTTGGCATGAAAACGGTACACTAGGTGTCCTTTCTGATCAATAGATGCATCTTTTCAGACTTTGAATAATGCCACTTTCACCATTAGATTGAGAAGTCCTTTCTTTTGGCCAAGTTTTCTCCTCAGCAAAGTGAAGAATTCATTGAAAAAACTTCCACGGTGGGTGCATTGGATCTCCGTACAAATAGGTTTTCCATAGTTGGACAATAAAGAGACGGTCCTGTTGTTTCACTTGCTTTTTGATATAGGTTGCATTTTGGCATTGATGATTTTGTTACATGTTCTGGTATACATACGCCATATGGCTTAGACTTGATGAATTGACTGGTCGTTACTAATGCTGCATTTCAACTTGGTTGAACTGCAAGCTTTTTAAAACTTTAAGGGCATGGGATAACAAAAATAATGTTTTGTACATTGTAATAATTCAAAGTATCTGAATTGTGGTACAACTCTCAAGTAAAATAAGGGACCAGGGTAGGTTCTTCTCTTCGGTTTTGAAAAGGATTGAAAGTTCCCAGTTGTGCATATACAGTATCCATGATTATCAACATTTATAACATCCTTTTGCTCAAACGTTTTTGGAAAGTTCTCTAAACGTTGGTACCAAATGTTGTCAGGCACAAAAGAAAAAAAGGGGAAAAAATGGCACTGCAGGAGATGTTCTTAAAATGTCTGAAAGATGCACAAATTTACTGTACTTTTGAAATGAGGCTTTCCGTTGGGTATGACGTTTTGAATCTCTTGGACAACACTGAGAATACAGTTTACATGTTGATTTAAGCATAAAACCTGGTATAAAAATGTGTTTTTTATTGTATTGAAATTTAGGCTTTGTACACATGTACAGTGTACATGTACATGTGTAGTTTCTTGGAAAACGGAAAAGAAAAGGAAACACCTATGTACATGTATCAGTAGATTCAAAATTCAGTCTACCCAACCAACTTAGTTGACTGGTTTTACTAAAGTTTCATTCAGAGTGGAATTTAATGTTACAAGTACATGTACATGTACGTACCATAAGGAGTACATGCATAAATCAGTTTTTTTAGCATTCAACTGTTTTTACATTGTATGTCAAATGCAAGTTCATCACACATCAATAGACATAGGTACATGTAACCGTATGTCTCTGCCAAAACCCTGATGTTCCGGTTGCTGGTGAACTTTGATGGAGTCATTGATGTGTGTGTAGGTGAAATGTCACAAGCACACAAACAAATTTTGCAACCGTTTAAAATGAGCATGACAAATAATACATGCAGCCTTCAAAAGAGCTCTCTAAAAGATACAGGTGTGTGAGCATAGCAAGAACTAACATTCTTCTCTGGAATTTTTCACTGAAACCCTTTGTGCATGACTACCTACATGTACTATACTGTGCAACGTTTTGTCTTCGTTGCAAAAATGGTCTGGCTGCAGACAGTCCTGTTGAAAACATATTTTCCAATAATGGTCTCTGGTGAAAATGAGGTTCTGTGTGTGTTGGCTTCCTACATGCCATCACGAAAATGTGTTGAATTCGAACAGTGACCTCAGCAGTTGACTTGAACAATGCAAGCCACTCATCAAATTCGTTGGCAAACATTTGTCACAGACATACAGAATAATTATCTTGGGGTGACTACATGTACCAGTTGTTGACATTTAAAGCAACTATGGTATAGGCTGGCTCCCCGCTGTAAATTAGGATAACGCACATGTGTTAATGGCTGGGACCAGTAGCTGCAGATGATGGAAATGAAGCATGGTGTGATTATTTGAGATGCCTATTTTAAACACTCAGAACAGTGAAGGGTGTGGAAAGCGGGGACCAATTATGTGAAAAAAACAGAAAAAACTAAGAAGAAATTTTGAACCTGCAACTGAGCAATTTATACATACGTAGTATTGTCTGATATTGATGATGCCACCGGTGCCTGAAAATCAGTTAAATGGGTTTGGGCCAATTTCAGAAAAATTTGGAAATGTGAGGAATTCCTCCTGTTTTAGCCACTGCACTGTGGCCGCTACCAGACCTAAAGATCCCTCAAAGCAGCTGGAATCTCTTGGTCTGGGAAGCAGAGTAACCATGGCAATGGCTCAAAAGATTGTCCAAATTTATGTCTGCGGTAAAAGAATCACAACAAAAGAATCACAACAACAGCGGTTGCAACGTTTCTGAAATGTTGATACGTTCAATTCCCCACAAAAGTGCATGTATGCAATTAGAGTTCATGGATTAAATTTCGTTCCAGTGGCATTTTTTTGGATGTTCATTATTCTGTTGTCTTCTCTTGTCACCCAGGATGTAGAGACACTGGAAGAGTTGAATGAAACGGGACACCTGAGAAAAATTTTGAAGAGATTTGAGGTAAGGCTGGGGAAAATGATAGTTAAAGGAGGAACTTGCCATACATGTATTTTTCTTTTAATTTTATTGTTTAAAAATTTGATTGTCGGTGGAGCTTTTGTTTGGCTACGATAGGCAAAAACTCAAATACATACATCAAGTCCAATGGCAGGCATTTCTTTGTTTTGCGTTGTCAGTGGTTTGTCCTGTGTTTTGTGCACTTTGCTCCTCATTTGGTGAAAAAATATGCAGCCTTGGAAGCAAGTAAATCGCATATGATTGTATTCCTCTGTGTATGCTCTGAACTTGCAGATTGAACGGTAGAGTTCATGGATTAAATTTCATTCAAATGTCAAAGCCCTTTTCCTTCTACTACATGTACATAATTGGAGTTCATTTCATGTTGCCCAAGATTTATGTACAATGTACATGTACATGTAATTCTGCATTAAGATTGATGCAGTCATGGCATTTGAGATGGGCAGCAATTAAGAAAATTTATCTAATGTATGTTTACAATTCGTGAAGACTTCACTGGGACTGTCTGCCTGTAATGAGTTCAAATCTACGGCTGTTTCTAAGCTTTCCTAATAGATCATTATACTCTAATTACCTGGACTCAGATTTCTTTTTGTTATAAATGTAATTTGGAGTGTTGCATAGTATGCTGTTATTGGTCGTGCATTGCATGGCATCATTGGAAATGAATTCAGTTCATGGATACACTGTATCACTGGCTTTCAGGAACACATACGATATAATGCGACGTTCTTATTGTATATTGTGTCATGAACAGCTCTTCGTCGTTTTTTAGTTCAAGGTGTGGCCGTGGGCCGACCCCATGCTGGGCCTTTGTGTGGCTCATTTTGGAAATCCGATGACATCACAATGAATTTATGATGGTTTTCCCGTGAATCGCTTTTGGCTCTTAATGCATTGTGTGATTGTGTTAGGGAAGTTTTCAGAGATTTATATCACTTGGAAATATAACCTTGGTACATTGAGTGGGTTATCACGCTGCAGTATGCCGGTATGCTGCAACGGTGGGCAGCAGGCATGAGTCAATCAAGCAAGAGTGATGTATTTCACACCTCTGCATGATGTAAATCATGTTTTGTTTTGTAGCTTTTTCTGTAGTAGCAAGAAATCTTTTAGTCAGTGTGCACAGTTCACAAGGGACGCTGGTTGTGGGTAGCTTCTAATAAAAAAAAATCCATGCTGCAGGACTTGCAAGGTCATTAGTGTGTCTTCAGAGTCCATTGTCAGACTGAATAAACAAGTGTGTTGTGCTGTGTCATCATGAAGAACAATTTGTAAATGTACAGGTACATGCGTGTATTTGTAATTTGTTACCGAGTGGGGTTAACACAAAAGAAAAATGAATGAGGAAACAGGGATGTGGCGGCACAAGAATCCTTGTCTCAATATCCATGTAAGTTCCAAAAAATTTTATTTGACGTGTACTTCACAAGCTAGAATATTTAGGGGTTGCAGTACGGCTTCTCTGAGATAATTTAGACAAAATTGTGACGAATTTTAAAATTGACAGTCAATAAGGTGATCTGTAATAAATAAAACAAGACATTTCATCAGCATATCAATCAATTCAGGTAATAAGTCCATTAATGTTGCCAGAATATGGAAACATGATGGAGGCAATTCCATGAAATTGGAGAAACAGTTAATTTCATAAGTTTCATCAATTTATTGTCACACGTACCGTATAGGACAAAACAGGTGAATTTACAGCAATTTCCAAATCTGTTTACAGTATAATTAATTATTGACGATAGCGCCATTTCATTGTTCAGTTCTCGGAAAATGATTCTTCTTGTGAGGAGGAAGGGATAATGGATATGGGAAATGGACATCTCATTTTTGGAAGTCTTCTTCAAAAACAATTTACAGTGGTTTTTAAAACTGAAATGAGTCAAAAAAGTCAAATTTGTGACTGTTTTTAGATTTTTGGAGTGGTAAAACAATTTTTAATGTCCATCCCGTTTTCATAAAAAGGAGAAAGCGCCCCTCCCCCCAAAAAAAACCAATAAATGAAACTAAAACCAGATTTTTTTTAATCCTTGCAGTGACTTGTGACAGCCATTTGTGTTTTGTTGAATGTCGCAGAGATGTACCGGTTTTGGAAAAATTGGCCGATTTCAGTGCCTAATGAAATTCACTGAGTCTGCATTCACTTTCTGTTCATCAAAGACACTATTCTGATGGAATCAGTAAAGGTTTACTAAGGAAATGTCACCTGTCCTTGGCCATCACATATTGAAGTTGTAATTAAAGACCTAACTGTGCAATCTCTTCAAGTACGTTGATAAGATACAAACTGGAGTGATGAAAAGGTTGAGGGAAAGTATGTTTCCTTTGAAGTTTTGACAATCCACTTGTGAATAAATTTCAAACTTAAAGCATGCTTGCAGTGAATTACATCACAGTTGACATTGTCTTTTGATAAATTCTATTATCTGTGACTTTAATCCAGGAGCATATTGGTTAACCAGTATTTAAATTTGCACAGCCAGATCCATACCAGGTTTTCCACTCTCTGAAAAGTAGGTTGAGAGGCATTTGTGAAGTTCACATGTACTGTCAGCTTGAAATGCTGAAAAGTACCATTTGCTGTACTGCAAAATCACTTCAGTGATAACCTACATACCTGTGTAGACCCGTGAACAGAAGAGGTCCTCATAACATGTAGGTTGTGTAAACCTGGGGGACTAAGCCTGAGCCAATCAAGATTTTCCACTCTTTGCAAAATACGTAGGTTTGGAGGTATTTTGGGGACGAGGTTACCCGTAGCAAAAGGAAGAGTCACTTAAGGAAAAAATCAAGGACAATTTCAATGTAAGACTTTTCCAACTGTTCACAGTTTTGAGAAAAATGACTAATTTAACTGAATTTTCTTAAGTACATGACATGAGAAGAAAGGATTGCGGCCGTGTTTGTTGTAAGAAAGTACCCCACATGTAACTATGGGTGTGAACAGTCTGCCACCGTAGTAAAACATACATTCTACATGAGTGAGTCCAGTTGAGTGGACAGAAAACTGCTCTGTCATAGAAAGTTATAGCAGATGGTTTGGTCCGGGCTTGAATGGGGGAGGCAGTTTGGGAATGTGTCACAATGTACTGTGTGTACTGAACTTATGGGTACTGCACATATATGTGTACATACAGTGTAAGTATTTGGTCTAGTTTGTATTTTCCTTTGACAATGTGTAAACCCACAGAAACTTGGCTATGAATGCACGCAGCAATGGTGTTCAAGTGTTGGCCCATACTTTGTCATAGCATAGCGCTCATAGTCCCCATTACACATGCTTACATGCACATGTAGTCCTTACAATGTATATGTACATTTAACTGCGGGGACAACACATGTTGAAACAAAGATTTTGTGACCACCAAAAACACTATGGCGATAAATTTTTGTTCTCACAACTTGGTCATGACTGTCCTTTCAAAATTTTTTTTGGTGGTTTTTTTTCACTCACAGACATTCATATAGCATAAACACTCTTCAGTACACCCATATACATGTGTAGTGTTGTCCGAAGGCATGTAAAAAAATTCCAGAGCTAACTCAGTCAGGACTTGAACCCACAACCGTCTGCGTATGCAGATATCTTATCACTTGACCACCGAGCTTGCTGGGGTTGGCTGGCTGGTTCAAGTCAAATGACCAGTGCCAATAACATTTTGAAGATATAATTTTCCCTAGTGTATATTTATGTCGGTGAAATTGAAGGGAAAAATATGGGTCAATATAGAAATTACAGGTACATCTCCCTGATGCAAAAACATAGCCAACCAACCAAAGAAAATGTTCTCTCAATGCGGTAATGGCCTAGGGTTGTAGAACGAGTGTTGCACTGTTTATTTTCCTGAACATATCGTCATGTGCATGTGCGTGTACTCATCGTTTCCTCTCCTCTTCTCTTTGCCTCAGAAAACCATACCCACATCGGACTGCCCAGAGTGTGGCGGGTTCCGTTACATGCCCTGCCAGGTCTGCAGTGGCAGCAAGAAGTCGTTGCACCGCAACAACTTCACCGACCAGTTCCAGGCGCTGCGCTGCTCCCACTGTGACGAGAATGGCCTGCAGAAGTGCCCGCAGTGCAATCAGTGAGACAGGTCTCTAGACAATGCCACAACTAGAGGAGAGATGACTTGTCTGCTTGCACTAGCCACTGCTAAAATTGGCAGTCGATGATGCAACCTTAACAATGTATTTTACACTTTACACCTGTGACCCAGTCCTGCAAAAATGAGTCTTTAGTTATAGTTTGTATTAGGCAAAATCAGTCTGACCTTCTTGTTGTAAGCCATCACTCAGTTTGGCATCCTGATCAAAATACACATTGTACTGGTATGGTTGAAGAAGGTTTAGGGCTCCTGTTCATTTACATTATGTCAAGAATGGCCTTTAGCTCAAAGTGGCTGTCTTGACTCTGGACTCTTTCTTGTGTAGGTTGGGTCACATATTTACCTATGGTGATTATGGATCACTAAACATGTTACCGGTGGCTCCAACAGCAATCAGAGAAGTCACTGTTTTAAGTGAAATCTACCATTTTCAAATGGTATCAACTTTGTAGTCAAAACAAGAGCTGTATTCAAATTCAGTGCCTCGTGTATAAAAAGTCCATTTCTACAAGTTAACACCAGAGCATATTTGCTGACTCATTTGACATGCAGCTATCTTGTACCAGTAGCTAGTTACTTTTTTATCAGAGAAAAATATTTTATGCTTAACTTAATACATCGCAGAATATGGACATTTCTCAATAGTGCGCCTCCAAGAATTTGCAACGCGTTGGTCAATCTCAATGCTCGAAATCTGTCGACCCACTGTGCGTATGAAAAGGGTCAACAAATTCTGTCATGTACATGCAGTATTCATATGATAAAAAACGACATGGCTTTAGTATGTCAGCAAAACACACTCCTATTTTTTAAAATGTGAAATGTTGATTTGGTGCCCACCCTGTTGTCGCATATGCACATTAAGTGAGCCACCTTCGTGTACTTGTGCATGTACGGATGCAATGGAGCATTGTTAAGCTGAACAGAAATTTACTAAGAACATGAAATATCTGCTTAGCAGCTACCTGGTTCTCAGATGAGTTTTGCTGAGCAAAATACAAAATTGAAGTAAAATTGAAATCCACGTAAGTGTACTTCTGCAAATTCGTACCCTGATGAAACCATGGAATGCATGAAATGCTAACTACCCGGTACCTTTACAGAAATTTGGTTTTGTTTTATATCGGATTGCATGGTTCAGGTAGTGTCATGTATTTTTATCATAAAATCCCCTTGCAGAGATGTCCAAGGAGCCAGATACTATTAGCATTAAGGTGCATTATCTACTGGTTGGGTGTCCTATTCAATCTTGAGTGGTTGTTAACAGACCAGCGCACACCCATACACACATCTTGGATCAGTCAATAAACTACAAGAGAGGCCCTATATCTGGAGGCGGAAGGCAAGCATAGGCAGGGCCTTGGTTTGGCCATTCACCAGCCCTAGCATAGAAAGAGACACGGGGAAAGATTTTACATGGTAGTTATTTGGATTAGTGTACGGTACATCACACCGCTAACTTTCCAGCTCAGTTTACGATGGCGTTTCTAAGTGCCATTTTAAATTGGAAAGATCAACCTTTCATGGCTGGATGCTGTACCCTGTGCTGTGACGAGAAGAAAGTGGGAGCATGTTTAGGCTCTTCTCTGGTTAAATTGGAATGAAGGGTTTGCTGTGAAATGGAGATGTGACATTCTAAAGCCTACGGTGTCTTACTTTGGACCCTAAATTTATGGAATGACTCTTGTTTGCAATTTCTCAGCAAGTTTTCAGTTGGATGCATGGAACATGAGCCCAAGGCTACACTCATGGCACTGATGGCAGGGTGACATGAGTGTTTCCTTCTCCCCACTCCCAACATGTCACCAGACTAATGCTTTACTGAACATGGAGGTGAGGGGATCAATCTGGTAATGGATGGTTTGATACTAATAGGCAATTTGTCCAATGAATTCTCAATTTTTGGTCCACTAATTGGTGATGGAGATAATGGGCTGTTCCCTCTGGAGTCTTTGCAGGAAATGAGAGCTCTGTGTTTTTAAATTTAATGGAGCCAGTGTAGCTGTACCAGTGTATTTTTGTGAAGCTTTTTTTTTTTTGATCTGTGTATTTGTAAACAGGCTTTGTCATGTAAGGGGTTAATGGAATTTAAAACAAGGGCACTGTTTTTTGTCAAATTCTGTTGTGTTTTTTCCGAGAAACAGATCACTCACTGCACATAAGTTTGTTCACTGATTTCTTCTTGAAAGCAAAAGAGACAGGCAGTTTCAATAAGTAGCTTCATGAGAAACGGTCTTTTTAGAGCTTTCAAGCAGAAACAAACATGATATTTCAGTATATGCCCTCTGTAAAATCACTGCACTGCTCAACACCATTCAAATTCATAAGCATAATGTAATATAGCTGTACTCATGAATATTCAAATTATTATAAGCCTTTTAACATGGGCCATGATTGTCTTCAGCAAGATTCCCAGAGTGGGAATAAAATGCGATATGTTGTAATTACAAAAACACATTTTAAACTGTAAATTATAAAGAGTTTTTCTTTTTAAGTTTAGCGTGAATATTTCAACGTTGTTGGTGATATCAAGTCATGCCTTTTTTGTAGTTTTTGATGTAAATTATTGCGTTTGGAATTTGTAAACATAGATTGTTTAATAGGTTGAGTGTACATGTATTTTTGGTTTGTTTTTTGTATTGTTCTTAAAATGATGAACTTGTGTGTCTTTGTCTTGCCCTAATAACAGGCCTGTTTATTGTTAGGCAGCTGTCTCGATTATTGTTCATTAAAAAAAAACCTATTAAGATTTCTGAATTCTAAGAAGGAAAACTTTCAATGTTGTTTGGTACAAGAAACACAGTGAAACCTAGAATGCAAGGTGCTAGGTTTGTTGCAAGCAAATAGAGTGGAAAGAGTGAGAATTTCAGATTTGGGGAAAAAGAGACACTCATGATGAAGCTGTCCATATGCGCATATAGACCAGCCCATACGTTCTTATACAACTCTACCTGTATGTGGAAAAAATCACCTCGAAAAATCAAGTGATATTGTGGAGCGTTGTGTTGGTTGGATGACCTTTGAATGAGATCCCAAAGTAAAAACATTCGTCCTCAGAGAGAATGATACTGATCTTGAAATCCAAATATTCAAAAATTCTATGACCATGAAATATCATTTCTGTGTGGCACACTTGGATATTTAAAAAGATCAGACTTGATTTTCTGAAGAACACTGAGTTTTGCTTACTTAAGCATATTACTTCCAGCCTGCATTTTGGTATGTGTGATCTGTGAGTCATACGTATGTCTGGGACCAAATTTCAGGTTTCTTTTCTTTACCAAGACCAGGCTTTCCTACTGCCAGATATATGCTACTTGCAGAGCAGAACTTCATGAAATCTTGATCTTTAGTAACCAAAAATAACAGAATCCATCATTCTTGGAAAGTCAAACATTCTAAACAGGGCATAATGTTTACTTAAAACTTGCCTTTGTAAATTGTACCATACTTTGAAAATGCAAAGAATAAGGTAGGTTTGAAAAGTAATATCTATTTTTGGCTGTAATTATGTCAACAATATGCAATGCATCTATGTGTGTACATGTACGGTACACTCAACAGTGTTTTGTAACTTTTATGTCCTTGCAGGATAAATAATACAAACATGGCCAAGGGCTGTGATGACGTTACATGTAATTACAATGGCTAGAGGAGTTGTAATGATTTTAATTATTGTTAGTGTAAACATGTTTGATTGATGCTGCTGACATTTTTTCTCATGTTTCTGTAGTGTACAATGTACATACCGGTATATACATGTAGCTTTGTCAAAAGCAACACAACCCCCCTCCCCAGTGTAAGGCAAACTGTGCTATGTTACCTCTGATCTGCAAGCAGTCACACATTTTGACTGTTTAAAGGTCAGGATCTGATAAAATTTTGCAAAATTGATAACGGTTTTTACACATTTGTATTGAGTGGACAGCAAGATACTTGTAAAGGTAGGCATTGTACATACATGAGTACATGAACAGTCTGGTATGCTTGGAATGTTTCGCTATTGATAATTTATGTAAGTTTTTTCGTGCCATTGATAATTCATTCAGATTTGATTTTTCTTTTCATATAAATATCACTGTTCAGAGGCTTGGCAGCAGACAAAATCTGTGTTAATTTTGGGCCAGAATTATTTACATGTATGTAGCAGCAATTGAATAAACAAATTTGGTCTCATCTTGGAGATGTTTGTATGCTGAAGGGTGAAAAAAATGCATTGTACACAGTAACAGATTTATTTGTACATTTTGGCAAAAATTGCTCTTATTTATTGTGTTAATCAGCTTCATATATTTTCACAACTTGTCTCTATGTAGTTTGTAATAATTGAAGATGTTTATCAAATAGATTGTTTAACAGATGATATGTTTAATCCTGATGTTTAAGTCTACATTTTTGTTGGTTATGCAAGAAGTCTCCCAGTAATTTTCTTTGGTCACAAGTGTGTAAGAGAGGGATATATCACATCCATGTTTATGCAAAGGATAAGGTATTCCTTGGGGTACTATTTTCTGTAAGATAACACTTTTAAACCATTATTTTTTTTGATTTGCAAATGAGGTTGCTCATATTTTATTCAAGGGTCCACGTTTAATTCTATGCACCAGGTTTAAATGAATACATTGACTTCTGAATTGAACATGTTTTTTTCCTTCACCACAGTTTATGCAAATTGATCACGTCATACAAGTATCGTAATCATTTGTTCCTCATGTATAAATGAAGCTCATTTATGTCCAGTGTATCACATTTGAAGACTTTTTTTAAGACTTAGATATGGGCTCTCTACAAACATGCACGTACATGTACATACACATAACTTGTGCGTGTGATGTGCTGATTTGTCCTACAGAGTTCCAGTGAAAATATTGGTCTAAACTAATGTTCAGGTAAGTGTTCCGAGTGTATATGCATGGTATTCCAAACTATGTACATCTATTGGTTGTGAGGAACATGGTGTTCAAGAGATTCTCTCCCTGATCAGCTGATTCAGTTCAGTTTAATGGACATAGTAGCCTAACCCATCAAATTCCATCAGAATCTAACACCTGTAGGTTCTTAATGTTTGATAGAATGGTTACCCATAATAGTTCCCACCTATTGTTACCTGGCATGGAACCCTTTGTATAGCTTTGAGTGTGTAAAGGATGTGTGTAAAGGTATAAAGTGCCTGTGTTGGATTCTGTTAGATCCAGGCAGGTTTCTGGCAAAAATGTTGTGGGACGTGCTCACTGCTTACCAGCAAGGGCACTGATTGCTCATTGGGAGTAGTTTCTTATTCAGTGTTAATACAAACATGGCTTACAGTTGCAGAGCCTGTGCTGTGACATTCAATTAGTCAAGTTAAGATGTCTTTCGCTTTTGCCATTTTGCAAAAGGAAAATTTGTCACCACTTCACACATTTGTATATTGTGCCGAGTATTACTCCTGCCCTTTGTCAGCAGAGCAACTTGCTCATGTCTGTTCTCTTACAGGCATCCTGTAGATACTTGAAATTGTTTTGAACCACACTCATCCAAAAAGCTGCTCCTATGGTCATGTGTATTTTCATTTGATATTTGACATCATTTTGCACGGCCTTTGTCAATGACTTGTCACAAATTAGTCTATAATTGATTGTCATGTGGTTGCATTTTTGACCTAAGTGGTACCATTTTAAGGGAAGGAAACCTGACAAGAGTGATGAAATTAAGCAGTATTATCGTTCTCTTCATTTTTGGTCAGATCATTCATACAGCAAATAAGTTGACTACCGATGTGAGCCACCTTATACTTTTTGCCTTGACAAGTGTACTCGGTTAGTGGTGCATAAATAAATGCCTTCATTATAACGGCTCTAATGAACATCTGGTTTGGCACTGCATGATAATATTCCCAGTTCGTCATTAATTCTGTAATATCCATAGTAGTGTGGAATATACATATATGTTGTAATTGTATTCAAATTCTACTTACATATACGAGCTGTTATTCCTGAAGTTGTTTTCTGCAAATAAATGTGATATTCAAGTCTTTAAATATGAAATTATCAAGATAATTGATGAAAGTATATGGACCCGATTCTCATTCAGTCTTTCACACATAGCAACATGCATTTTAGAGTGCAAATTACATGTAGCTCTAGTGTGTATATATATATATTGCTGGTAAAGGTACGTGTACATGTATATTAGAATTCTTGACAATGGAATTTACTAAATCACAGGACGTACTATATGTATATGATTTGAAATGTAATATTTTTGCACTCAGGTAAAAAGAAACTTTCTTAAAACTTATTCCTAAACCAACATGCACCATACACAAGGTTGATTGAAGAGAGATTGTAAATGTTGTTGGGTCTGACTGGAAACGGGCTAAGCTTGTAAGAAATCGTTAAACCAAATTATGGAATAATTAGTTTGCTTTGGAACATGTGTGCCCAAAGCTCTTACAGTTGGACCTAAAATGTCAGACATGTGGAAGTTCTACTTGTCACAACCATTTGAGCTTCAAGTTGGAAGTTTTTCTTTCAAAAAGATTTTGGCAGTGTTAAATTCTAGCAATGAGATTTCCATTATGGGCATGGATAGCAGTTTGAGCAACATTCCTCCGTTTGTTGAGGCCAGTTATGCATTTTCCTACCTGTCTGAAATTTGAGCTATCTGACGTCATGAGCTTAAAAGACATCACACAAACTGAAACAAGTGTCCAATAGTCACATTAGATCAAAACCAAACTGAGGGTTTATAATTATGAACATTCCAAATTGTGTAAAATGTACCTCAAAAAATGAATAAAATTTAGAAACACTTTATAAAAAAGCTTGTTACAATTTGACAGGTGAATATCACTTAACATTCATATTTGCTATAAGCAGAAATATTTTTGCGCAGAAATGCCAATCGGCTTAAATTATCCAGCAGCATTATCAATTGACAAGATAATGTATTTGACTTAGCGCAGGAGTTTTAAAACCTGAAGTAAGAAACATCGATACGTTAACTAATCAACACGATGACATAAAAATTCCAGGTCATGCTTTCTTCAAATGATATTATTCATGTACGTATGCTGAGAGGATAAATGTAAGAAAGCTGAAAGTTTGGTTTTAATTTTGTTATATAAAATGGTAAAATGTTACAGAAAAAAAGATGTTTGATACGCAATATACAACATACCCAGTTTGTCTCTGTATTTATCTCACACAAGGTGGTCTTTGTGATTCTTAATTGGTGAGTAAACCAATTTGATTGGATTGGTGTGCCTTCTGGTGACTGTCAATGTACATGTATATAGAAATACCATGGGATGTGATTAAACTATTTTATCGCAAGTCACCATTGTGTCTGATTCCTTATTTTTGGGTCAGATGTAATGTGTGTCAGTACCGACACTTCTCTGTGTCAGTTTTCAAGAATATAAAAACTGCAGCATCAGCTTACCAAGGGTGTGGGCGGTGGCGAGGTGGGGAAATTTTTTCGAAAACTTTTGAGTGAGTAAATATTAAGAGTGTTTGAGGCTTGTAAATAAAAGCAGGTAGAATGGAGGGGAGTTGTTCAGACCTTTACTTTTGCACGATTAAGTCCAAAATCAATCTGAGAAATCTGGACCAAGAGGCCATGATCTCTAACTTCTGAATCCAAGCCTAGCAAGATGTTAATGAAAGGGGGCAAAGCAAACACTTTATACATAAAGACAGAAATATGCAATTACATGTACACACAAACAGCCTTTACATGGCTGTTCCAATGCATTTAATTGTAAAGAATGGTGCTGTTTGGCTGCTCAAATATTTGAACATTTCATTCTAATGGTACTCTAGGTTATTCAGTAATGGAAATGCAAGGAACTCAACAAATCAGTACAGCAGTAATGCTATTGATTACATTTATTCTCAAATTCGCTGTACAGTGAAGTTTGCATACAATTGGGATACTTTCAATTTTGTACATGTGAGTTTTTAACACTTTGCTGAAGAAAAGTTTCCATAGCACAGTTTAAATGGCCAGTTTTTAAATCTGCTTTCAAATTGACTCTTAAGATATCTTTTAAAAATAAACGTAACAACTTAAATCACTCATAAGGGATGAAACATGCTTACACAGCCAATTCTCAATGAGTTACACTTCCTTGATATCAAATCAACTTATTAAAATAATCCCTTGTAAAACTGGCATCTTCGATTCTGGAATGACTTTAATAAGGGTTAAATTTTTAAACCAATCCACCAATTGCAGCTCTGATAACCATTCAATGAGTCATTTTTTTTTCATCTGTGACCTACAGGCTTTATGGAGTCCTTAACTTAAAAAAAAACACAAACTGGCTAACCATAAATATATCAACACAAAATCAAATATATAAATGCTACTGTGCAATCTTTGAATAGAAAAATAAATTAGTAAAATCAATCAATCAATGGAACATCTGGGATATTTTCAACCACAGTGATGTTAATAGAAATAAGGGTTTGTAGTAGTGCTATCTTTGCAAATATAACTGAATTATAATACATAAGCAGAATACATGTACAATATCCATTAAAGAAATTTGATTTCTACTGACACACTAAAAAGATAAGCTGCTAAAATGCCCTATCACCATGATACAAAAACAGGTACACTATTCAAAGTCACCCGTACAGGACAATTTGTTGCCTGGAAGCATTTTGAGTCTTGCTCGTTCCAAGCTTTCGTTTGGGTTTCACACAAATAGCCCTTTTGTGCAGTACCTTGGCAGCTACAGAAACAACCAAATCTGGAAGGCAAACTTAACTGAAACATGCATGTGGATCCAAATTTGGTCCAATGCTGCATGTTTCGTCATGGTGAGTATGGAATGTGACAAGCACTAAACTGGAAATTTTGGAAACATTTTGGCCATACTTCAGTTGCTTTATGCTGCAAGCTGTGTTTTTGCTACTGAACAAATGATAAAAAAAAAATCTATGCCATCAGAGGTATACACACTAAAGAGCTATGATCTTGCTATCTCAGCTTTGGAGCTGGCTCATATTTTAGCTTTAAGTCTTGGGATGTGATTTCCAAATTGTTCTGATACACATTTTTTGGGGAATGTGATCACTTGGCATCAAAGAAATAGGTCATGGGTATGCAACTCGAATTATTACTGGGAATGAATCAGGCCAATAGACTGATCTAGCAGGCCCTGCCCACCACTGCCCATGTGCTCTTGTCCAATGCCACACTAAACGTTCCACTTGCATGCATCATACATACACGCATCCATGCCAGAGTTCTCTGCACGCCTGTTGGACATGCATCATGTCTGCTATTGGTCAGAACACATAGGGGCAGGGCTTACTGGATCGGTCTGTAATAATGCAAGACACAAACACTGTGGAATGTGCCATTTCCGTCCCATATCCCAGAGGACCAAAAGCCACGTCACCAGGACAAAGTGGTCCCACAAGGCTCGTTATTTTTTCACTCACCCAGTTGCAGAAACAAGCTCAGTGAGAACAACAAAAACCATTAAAAACAGAAGCCTCAAGATACCTACACGCACAAAAAGCATATCCGGTCTAACTCAGCAGGAAAACAGAGCAGTTTCTGACTACATTTTGCTGCAAAAATAAAATTACCAATGTAGCAAATACAATGTATGCCCTTAAAAACTATACAATATGACAACATCCATATTCAGATAAAGATCACATAAAAAAGACCCATTGATACAAATTACACATACGTGAGATTGCCACTGAGAGAAATAAGCATTTTTATACATACATGTGTGAATGTAAAAGTAGTTTTCTCTGTTATATCACAGAGGTTCACTGTTCACATTTAGATTTAACACAATTATAAAAAGCAAATAACAAGGATTTCAAAAATAAAAACAAACCCTGAACAAAAATTACATTAAAACTTGAGCCGTCTAATTATCTTGAGTCAAAATCTAAGAGTCTTCGGCTCTTTTGATAAAAACCAACCACTCCCCTCCCCCAAAACTGACATTTACACCTCCTTATCTTTTGTGGTAGAGCTAACAGGGATCTTTTTGGAAGTGGAGTCTGCACTAGTAAGCAGGAGGTCGTGGGTTCGAGTCCCACCCGAGCAAGCTTGTTAATTTTTTTGCAAGCTCTCAGATGATTACTGAGCATACAGTGTTTATCAATATATGTATAAACGTTGGGTAAGGGCAAAACCCGTTTTATTACCTGATTTTATCTGTTCAAATAAATATGGAAGCATCCAAATCGAATGCAGTATCACTTGTCTTCCGAGCTTAACCATAACAAGCTAAAAAGGGCCTTTTTTCTGTTCATGCCAAGACGGGAATTCTGAATGATTGTGTCATTTGGAAGAAACAGAGAAAATGAAGGGAACCCTCACCCTGTATTCGTAGAGGATAAACCCTTGCACAGGCCAAAAAATGCATGTAGCCAGCATTTGGTGGCCCAACTGCACAGAACTGCTTGATGCCAAGGCTGGCATTTGGCTAGTGTAAGGCTCGATATCAGGGAAATCCACGACAGCACTTTGCTACACTCAGTGGTGTTCTTATTTCAGCTGTGTTGGACTGGACTGCATTTAGTAAGATGCTGAGAGAACAGAAAGGACAGGAGTTACGGGCATGTGACCTCTATATACAAAATGGAGGAGATGTCACCAATGATTACTTGGGACAATGATGCAAAGCACACGTGCATGATGGACATATGCTTGAAAGTCATTTTATTGAAGGTCTCCTTGACTGGTTATCTTCCTTATGCCACTGATAATCTCGACCTCAAAATTCCTCTGAACCTCTTTTTTTAGAGAGCAGAAACCTTGTGTGGACTTAGTTTAGTCCACGTAAGGTTTTGCACAATCTGCATTATGAAGACCTTTTTTGTTCACGGGTCTACACTAGGTAAGTAAGGTTGGCACATGCAGTTTTTGCCATCACTAAATGTCAGCTGTTTTAAATATATGCCCCTGTGCCGCAGAACCATAAAAAGAATATGTTAAAAGTCTACACGCACAGAATCAGTCATTCCAAATACCGTCTCAGTAGAGGAAAAGTTGGAATCATTACCAAAAGTTCTTTTAAATTTTCTGCAACAAAAACCTGACAAGCAGCGAACAGTGACTGTATTACAGTCACTAAATTGAGTTTGCAAAGATACAAAATGCATACATTTGGCCAATACAACAATCTTTGTAAAAGCAGAAAATTTCTTTTAGTACAAAATACAAATGCACTTGCAAAAGTCTGTCCTCAGTAACTGACTCAGTTACCCAGTGCCTACCAACACTTGTAAACTTCAATTACAACATTAAGGCTGGTGCCTACTTGACACATGTGCACAGGAATGTGAATTGGTGATGTCAGATCAAATATTCATGCTTATGAAACTCTGGGCATTGAACACATTGCAACTCAAGCGATTTGGCTGCAAATGCCTTGTGAGGTCAACTTCATTTTGCTTTCACCTTTTATTCGAAATACAACTTTACAAATGGAACATGCCTTTTCAAACACTGATGGAACTGATAAGAATAGAAAAAAGTAATTGTTTCATAACTTGGGAAGAAATGTAAAACTGTACATAAACAGTATGTACTTAAACCTATATTATTAGTGAGATGTAAACAGAACCAAAACTACACATAAGACTAAAAATCTGTAATGGTAAGGAGGTAGGAATGATCTTCAATAACGAGGACCTAACAATAGGAATAAATGGGCTTACATAATGTTTCAACTGAGCAAAAACTTGTTTTTTTTTCTCTCTCATTAATACTCTCCAATATGGCTGTGCTTAATTTTTAGGCTCTTCACTTAGAATGTATACAGATTAATCAAATTTAACATTTACTTCTTAATCTCCATGGTTCTTTTGTTCAATGTAATAACGCTTTAACGCAAGTTCCCTCAACAAATGAGGATCTCATTACAAATGTATTGAATATTTTTGGACGCTTTACTTGCAGTGTGCGTCCTTTTATACATGTTTACTTACATGTACATTTGTGTCAGTGTGAACACTTTGAAAACTAAAAAGGAAAAAAAAAATGAAACCCAAAATCAGGAATACTATACTTTGTAAAAATGAAAAGCCATTGGCTTATTTGTAGGTAAATACCATACCATGCATGAACAATTTCACATTTCTTTTGATTTCCATGTTGCTGTTCAGCATTTCTTCTACCTAGTGCCTTTAATAGCTTAATGTTTAACCGCAGTCACTGAATTAGACAGAATACTTCAACTTGAATAGTCATGATTTACTAGACTATTTTGTTTTCAAATGGAAAGTTCAAAATCTGCCTTAGCTATAAGCAGTCTTATTTTTTCCAAGGATGACTCTTTTTTGGGGGGGGGGAACATTTGACTATGTCTTGTGTTCAAAATGAATTCCCCTAAAGTCTGCTAAAGTCTGCAGACTCAAAAATCTGCAGTAAACAAGGCAACACTGAATCATGATTAAACTAACATCCAGTGAATTTTGGCATGAGAATCTAGAAGGTCTGAAGTAGAAAGGAAAATAGAATACATGGCAGATATTTTGAGGGGAAAAAGTTTTGAATACAAAGCTTTTGTTTTCCATGGATACTTCTATGCTAGCTCACAGAGTTCTAAAGATTTGCCATCCAGGAGAAAATCTACCTTGCTGAAGGAATACTACATTTGCTGAGCTGAAAAAAAAAACCCAAAGTGCTTCATTGAATGAGTTCTGAATACAGTTAATTTAGTCGTGTTGGAAAATTTCACAGGCTAAGAATTGAGCGCTTATTTTTCTGAACAACTGACAATGTCATATCTTCAAAATGGCACTTTGTAGATTTTTGAAACTCTATATTCGACTATTTCTCGGTAAATTTGGGTCTTGCTATCACAAACTCTTCCAATACAGATTCTAGTTGCAGTAAATATCAGGCCTTGGTTTGACTGAGCACTGACATGCACAATGAATGGGACAGGCATTCTTTCAGTACAATTGTTCTGAAATAACTACATTTTGGCTTGGCCAAGCCATGTTTGAGTAAGTAAGAGTCAGCATTAATACTCAATTGCGAGTATTGAACAGTGTACACAAAAGACTTACATGTGTAACAGTGCGCTGAGAAGTGGGCGATTCAGTTTCAATGGTTAATGTGAAAAGGATATACATTTATGTGATCCTATAGGAGTTGCTGTGGCCAGATTTCATTGTTGGCATTAACTGGCTCTCAGGCATAATTTGGCTTGGATTTCTGAGCTTACAAGAAGTGACCCATTCCTCACCGTGTGACACTCAAGTTGTGCCCACACAGCACATATATACAAACTTGCTTGAAATGTTTTTTCCCTTTGAGAAAAGCTTTTTGTCAACACAAACCGAAAAGCCAAGACACCAAGTTTGCATAACTTTACACCTCCACTCACAGATATTCAATGACCCTGTAATTAAATGTCACCAACACCACCATACAATTTGCATAAATGTACAAAATGCCCTCAAAAGAACAATTAATTTTGGTTCCGTACGTCGATCACTCAATTTCGAGCCTGAGTTTAAGGAGTTTGTTCTTCATCTGTGTGCCATGGAGCTTGCAGTAGATATTGCCGTCCACCAGCTGCAGGTTACCAATCATCAGCGTGCGGTGGCACTCGGTACACTTCTGACAGCCCTTGTGGAAGGTCTTACCCTCGGCCTTGGCCATCTCTGTCAGGTAAACTGGCTGCTGGCAGGCGATGCAGCGCTCAATTTTAGGCACGAAGCCACGCTTCTTGGGTGAGGGCTTGGCTGGGGACACCCTGGCTGGAGTGCTGGTGTTGGTTGGAGTTGATTTGTCACCAGTGGTTTGATCAACATTTTCCTGCAGTTCAAATTTGGGGAAATGCTTGCTTGCTGTGTTCAGTCTTAAAGTTGGCAAGACATGCAGGTGTATTTTTCAAAGAATGCACATAGGATATACCTAAGCTACAAAACACATCTCTTTGATGGGTATCACAATTGGGAGTAATACACAAAGCGATGTGTTGCACAGCATAAACGTGAGCACGTTTTTCAGAACAAATAACACACAAAAGAACATCAACAATTACCTTTGGTTAATCAATCAATTCCATCTATCTATCTAACACCCTGGCCTCTTTCAAAACATCACAACATACAGGTTATCAATGCAACATACCTTCATGGGTGTGGTGTTATTGTTAGGTGTGGTCTCGTTGCTAGACGTGGATGGGCTGGTGCTGTCCTTTTTGTCCGGACTGGAATTTTCGCATGATTGATTTGAAGGAGGATTCTGTACCAAAAAATTAATTTCATTAACAACAAAACAAATAAAAACCAAAACGTTTTCAATCAAGAGAAACAAAAATCACATATGGATTGAACATTCACAGACAACAAAACATAAATGATAATGACCATTATTACTGTTGACTATGAAATGCTGAGGCAAATACAGCAGGTATGTGTGAGAGAAATTACAGCTATGAAATTACTTGCTATGAGCTCAGCAAACAAAATCTGTCAAAGTGACCACTGGTAAGTAACTTTCACAGCAAGACAATCTGAATAAATACTGGACTTAAGCAAAAAGCATGTATACATGAAATGTGTATTGCTTCAGACTAGTCACCAGTTGCGTTTTCCCTATGGTGACTGAAGTTTGTCAAACTTTTATTACTGAGACCTTTTGAGTTGAGAAAGCCACATGGCTTGAGTGTGCAAATAATTGGCCTTTTTAGGGGGATCAGTTAGTAGTAGCACTTGAATTAACAGAAGTCTCAAAAAATGGAGAGCTCTGACCTCTCACCTACTTCCCCTCGTATTAGAGCCATGCTCACAACAATGTCTCAAATCCAATCAAATCACTCACACATACCTGCTATTTCCAGCAACCCTCTACGTGCAAAATAAAATCTGGTCATGAAAATTAACACTGACTGCCCCAGCAACAAAGCATGTTCCCATGCATTTTCTCTCAAGCTTAATAGAATGACGATGAAAATAGATATTATCATGCTTGACGTGCAGTGAACCCTAATAACTAATCATGGGGCCTGAAGTTTCCTTAGATTAATCGGATGGCTCCCCTTTATTGCTACCAAAGTGAATAAACCCAGTGAAGCAAGTATGCAAATTTTCACAAAGGAAATGTTATTACAAATGATTTCAACTGAAATTGTTACGTACAGAGAAATGCGACAGTCTAAATGTACATGGATCAAATGAAAGATGATGGAAGAGCTTCTTTTTGACTGTTTTGTTGCACCTTGACCCTGTTAGTGTCAACAGAGAAACTGACCAAGAACAATAATTTAAATACTCCTGAATTTGATTTCTTGCACAAAAGGTTGACAGCAACCAACTGACCAAGAACAGTAATTTAAATACTTCTGAATTTGATTTCTTGCACAAAAGGTTGACAGCAACCAAACTGACCAAGAACAGTAATTTAAATACTCCTGAATTTGATTTCTTGCACAAAAAGTTGACAGCAACCAACTGACCAAGAACAGTAATTTAAATACTCCTGAATTTGATTTCTTGCACAAAAAGTTGACAGCAACCAACTTAGAATGTGTGCTTATACTGATTTATATCAATATTGGTGTGGTGTTATGGACAGGATGCCTGACAATTCCAAATCAACTATTAAGAACATGTCTGGAAAATAGTCAAATATGGTTTTTCCTTGGAATACCCTGATCAAA